GCTGCCCTGGGCGTCTGGACGGTGCTTCTTCCCACTGTCCCTGCCCTCACCTCTGCACCTGTGCTTCCTCCGGGCCCCCCGTCCAGCGGGACAGCAGGCGGTTGGAGCTGCGGTGTGTGCTTCCACTTGTGCGTGCAACTCTGGGTGTGGGTGTGTCTGTGCGTCTGTCTGAGGGCAGCTAAGACCTGGCTGTTGGGGGGAAGGGGGTGTGAAACTAACTCATGAGAGCGTGTGTGTGTTTATGTGGCTACGTCCCACATAAATCGTGTGTGCGCCCGTGTGTCTGTGTGAGTGTAGCTAAAACCTTACTGTGGAGGATGGAGGTGGGGGGGGCGGGTGAAATGAAAATGTGTGTTTATGTGGTAAAGACCCACATAGATCTGTGTGTGTGTGTGTGTGTGTGTGTGAGAGAGAGAGAGAAAGAGAGAGAGAGAGAGAGAGAGAGAGAGACGACCGACGGTTGTTTGTGTCCGTCTGTCTGTCTGTCCGTCTGTGTGGGGTGAGGCTGGATCCCAGCCCAGGCCCCTGTGGTGGGAGCGCCCACCCCCCGGCCGTGAGGAGGCGGCAGGACCGGCTCCTGGCAGGGCTCCGGGACCAGCCGCACGGCTTCCTCCCCGATGGGCCTGCACAGGTGGGGATGAGTCACCGGTGGTGAATCTGCAGGCCCCATGCCGGCGTGAAATTCCTCTCCGTTGGCAGGAATGAGGTCAGAGCCTCCGGAGGTGACCTGAGGTCACCTGCCAGCCCCTTGTGTTCTTGGGGTGTCAGGGCCACTGGCGTGAAATTCCTCTCCGTTGGCAGGAATGAGCAGAGCAACTCGGCCCAGGTCAGAGCCTCCGGGGGTGACCTGAGGTCACCTGCCAGCCCCTTGTGTTCTTGGGGTGTCAGGGCCACCAGAACTCAACCACCTCCTTCCTGACGGTGGCCAGCGGCAAAGGGACCCCTCACCATCCTCCCTGCTGCGGCTCCCGCCGGGAAGGCCCCCCAAGCACGCACTTCGGGGACAGGGACACCAAGGCACCCACACAACCATCTGCTCCCTCTCTCCCAGGGTCACTTGCTGGGGATCTGCTGGTGCCTCCGGCTCCTGCCCTCACTTTTAGAGACACCCCCCAACCCCCGCAAGCCCTCCCTGTGCCAGGGCCCAGAGGCCCACCTCTCAGCAGATCTTGAGCCCCCTCTCTTTACCAGGACCCCCGCAACTTCTTCTTCTCAGGCCTGCGGAGGCGCCCTGGGGGTGGGAAGGGCACCCCTCTTGGGGTTGGGACCTTCACCCCGAGTCCTGTCTTCACCCCTCAGCTGAGGCTCCCGGGCTGGCCAGCTGCTTCCTGAGCCTTCCTTCCTCCCTCACCTCTTCCCTCACAGAGGTAGGTTTCTTTTCTTTTTAAATATATGTTTATTGATTTTAGAGAGGAAGGGAGAGGGGAGAGCTAGAAACGTCAATGATGAGAGATTCATTGATGGGCTGCCTCCTGCACGCCCCACACTGAGGATCGAGCCCGAAACCCGGGCCTGTGCCCTGACCGGAACCGAACTGTGACCTCCTGGTTCGTAGGTGGATGCTCAACCCCTGAGTCACGCCAGCCGTCAGCAGAGGTAGGTCTCTCCTCTCTCAGGTGCGCTAAGCAGCGTGCACTGACTTGCGTGGCGCGTCGCCTGGCGGTGTAAGAATTTGCCCAGCCTTTTCTGTCCTGTATGCCAAACAGCCTTTTCTTTCATTGTCTGTGCAAGTTTCCTTCTGGTTACTATTTGCATAGTATATCTTTTCCCATGATTACAATCGACATTTCTGAATCTGTATGTTTTAGATGTAAATAGCATAAAGTGGGAATTTGTTTTTTAAAAGTCTCCCAATCTTTGTCTTTGACAAGATTATTTAAGTTTACGTTTAACACAATTTCTGACATATTCCTGTTTAAACATACCATTTTTGTGTGTGACGACGGCACTGTGGTGCTATCCTTTTCAAGTCCTTATCTGATAACGGTGCATACGAAAATATTCACGAATAAAATGATGTGGTATGTGGGATTTGCTTTAAAACACTCGGGGGAAATGAGGAGGTAAATGAAACTAGATTCGTAAGTGTTGGGATTATGAGTGTGTAAGGTCCGTTATAGTATTCTGTCTATCTTTGTACCTTATTTAAATTTTCTCTAACAACACGTTTTTCCATCAGCCATCTCAATTTCTACTATTGTCCTGTCTATTTTGTTCCTTTTCCTCTGAAATCTCGGCTCCCTTTAGATGGGTTATTTTTTCATGATCCACTTTCTCCTCTACTCGTTTGGAAGTGTTCACGAGCAGTCTCTCTCCGGCAGTGCCTCTCGGAGCGGGACAGGGCACGGTGCCTGTCTTCCCTTCAGCTCTTCTGGAACTGTCTGCTGACAGTTTGCTATTGGCGCTGAGCAGCTGTTTTGTACCCAGTGCTCTGTTAGACCCCGAGAGACCAGAGGTGAAGGTCACACGCACTGACCTTGAGCAGCCCGGCACAGTTAAGACAGAGGAACACGGACACGTTAAGACTGACTGAGTGGGCCCCGCAATCCGGGAGAAGGGGAGGGGGACAGGCAGCCTACCTTTTGGGGGTGGGGGGGGTTGACATGTGAGCTGAGGTCTGAGGTCAGTAGGGGCAGGTGGTGAAGCCCAGGCTGGCAAAAGGAGCACAGAGCATGAGACCCAACAGTAGGGTGCTGGGAGGGTCCCCGGGCCGGGGGCGGGGGCTCACCAGGACTGTGGGCATGCGGTGGGAGGTGTGGTTGTGGGGCCTCCCGCGGGTGGGGGGGGGCTGCCTCCACCCTCCACAGGAGTCCAGAGGAAGGAGACATAGAGGCTGCAAAGTGGAGGCCTTTTGCAGGAAGAAGCGTCTGGCAGCTTCTGGCACCTTCTAGGATTGTTTGCGCAAGATCCCAGACTCCCTCTCCGTCCTGGGTTGCTTTTTAAAACACCTTTCTGGGCCGGGGAGTGTGTGAAGGGCTGAGAAGAGAGGAGCCAGAAGTGAGGCCTGTGAGGAAGGTGTGTTTTCCCAGCTGACGCCAGGCTGCCGAGGCGAGAATTGCTGAGAGTGCGCTGATATCACAGCCCCCCCGGGGGCCGCTGTGAGGGTGATGAGACTTTTCTTCACAGCTGTCCTGGTGTCCCCCACCCCGGCCACACCCCTCCGGCCACATGGCTTCCTGAGGCCTGGGCTGGGACCGCTGGGAGCGCTGAGCAGAGGAGGAAGGACGGGGGACAGAGGAGCAGGCCACGTGTGTGCAGAGGTGCGGTTCCATTTTGTTCATCCTGCCCGTGTTTATAGCCACGCTCACCGAGGAAACAAATCGTGGGTGACATGAGCAAGCCCGGGAGGCTGGCTCCTGAGTCATTCTCCAGAGGGGGAGGCATCTGGTTCATTGAATTCTATGGCTCCATTGAGTTACCACGGCGACAAAGGATGGATGTGCCAAGGGCATGAAGACATTAGGAGGGCGAGAGCGCCCTGACCGGCCGCTCCGCAGCCGAGAGCCGTCTTCCTGGGAGAACGCAAGGGAAGGATGACTCACCGCGACAGGAGAGGTGCGGCGGCCGGGGGTACTCAACAGCTTCATGCTGGTCTTGGCGCCAAACCCTTCCCGGCTCCCAGCTAGGGTGGCCAGATTCAGCAAATAAAAACACAGGGTGCCCAGTTAAATTAGAATTTCAGGTGCCCGGTGAAAATCGTGTCGTGTGTGTTCATGCAAATGTGATTTGTTGTTCATCTGGAATTCAGATTGAACTGGGCATCCTGGATTGTATCTGGCAGCCCTCGCCCCAGGGGCTGCAATTAAAGCTCAGATTCCAGCACCCATTTCTCCCCGGGATGTAGCCTCTTCTGATGTTTGCAACTTCGGTTCCTCCTCACTGTCTCCTTTCTTGTATCCAA